ACTAGTGCAGTGAATTCCAATTACAGTGAGGAGATATTTGGCTCGGTGCTTCTTGTGATCCCGTTCGACACTGAAGAAGAAGCGCTTGAGATAGCCAATGATACGACATTGGGCCTTGCCGCTGGACTTTTTACCAAGTGAGTGCGCCGTACTATTAACCTCGAAATCGAGGATTAACTGAAGGAAATAGAGAAGATCCCTTCTTCTAAGGATTGCAACGACAATCCTGGCTATTTCAGAGATTTGGCACGAGCTCACCGTGTTGCAGATCAGCTTCAAGCTGGCAACGTCTATATCAACACTTACAATGACGTTTGTAAGTTCTCTTTCATTAGCAATGTTTCAAGCTGCTTCAAATAGCGATAATGTGGCCTGCGTACTAATCGAACTCCGTCTTTCAAATAGCGTCATTTTTCTGCCATCGTCTGCGTCCTCTTCATACCGTTCTGGGAGGACTGTAACCTCGCACATTCAGTTTTTCGCAGAAGATAAATGGCTCACCTGCTCCAGTGGTACCCTCCTTCAAAAAAATCATCGACGAGTCTTCACGTACTCTGCCACCTTTCAAGCCGCTCCCCTTGTTTGTCTGCGCTCTCACCTTTCGCTGCAGGACCATGACAAGAGTTCCAGCAGTCGAATAATGCATGTTTTCTATATTGGAAACTTATGTACTAAAGAAGGTTTTATTCTATCGGAGTAAAGTTGGTAGAGACGTTAGGCGACTTGAAGTGCCCACATAACGACCTTGTGCCAGAAACTATTAAAAGCAATTGTCCTAAAGGAGTGAAAGTTGGTTAGAGACGTTAGAGCGAAAAGTGGCCCACACAATTATATGTCATACTGGTGGAAGTTCCAGTTAACAAATGTAATTTCAGCACATTCGTCCGTTGGGCGGTCGTTATGGAGATTCCGGCCTCTCGGGCGTGCAGAATGGTTACTGCACTCTCAGATAAAGTCTGTGTTCGTTTCAATAGCACCAAAGTTGGAGAATCCGTTCCAGTAACTCCATTTCTACTCTTGGACTCCATTTCTTACTCTATTTTATGACTGAAGATATTGTGGGGTTGTTACGATCGCTACTATTTACAATAGGACGACTACTGTAGCTTCAAATTATTCTTACATTAGCCAAAGGATCTCAAGTTTGTGTAGATAGGGTAGTCAACAGGCAATCGTAAATCGCCGCGTTTGTTGGCCTGGCTAGCGATGTCGCCTGTCACTTGTGGCAACTAGATAGTTGGCAGCATCTGAGACAGCGCTGGGATCTTGCGATGACGCACATTGACGCGCTGTTACGCGCGTCGACGCGCGATGTCACGCGCTACAGCTGCAACAGCGCTCCAGTCGACAAGCAACCTTGTGTGGCTGCGTCCAGTCTCTAGGATTTGAGCGCTGCTGCAACTGTAGCTCATTACAGCACGTCACGCGAACTCTAAACGCTGTCTTACTCGAATTGCCGCGCCCACTACCGCGCGACACGCTGCACGGGACGGCGCGGCAAATTGTGGTTGCCTTGATTAGTTCCCGTAGAGATGCATTATCAGAGCTTGCCAGTCAGGTGCCAATTCGGCTTAGACCGTACGTTTACCAATCAATAAGCAGAAGTGAGATTATCAGCAATCAGCTACACATTCCGTTCCTTCCCATTTCACTTCTGACACTTCCGGTTCGTAAAATGAAGAGTGAGCTAAATGATTTCCAATGCTATGGTAATAGAGAAGGGGCAGGCGGAGGCATGCAGCGGTGCGACGAAGATCTCGCTTCCTCTCTCCAGGCTCACCCCTGGAAGAGCGCAGACGACTAGAGCCTGCGTGGCTCGTCTTGGGAGCAGAGGAGCGGAGCTTGCCGCGCCCCCTCATGGCCCTACATTCGTTTCGGTTATGCTTTCCAAAAGGCTTTACAGCGGTTTCAACGTTATTTGTTACAACGTTGTTTTGTTTGTTACAACGAATATTAAATAAGTATTTTTTGGGTGCTAACGTATTTGGGGGGGACCACGCGGCTCGCGGCGTGCGATGACTCATCTGCTCTTCTGCTCCCTCCTCGGCAAAATAGAAGTAATTTTGTGTTTAGGACATGGATATAACACCGACCTAGCTATATTAATACAGTAACGCTAAAAAGTCCGAAGAAACAGTTGTGGGCTGGAAGATTTTTGAACCTTGTTTGTTTTATTCTAATTTGACTGCTAGAATCGCGCTTCAAGTATGCCGATGAGTGAAGAGCCGATGAGTCATCACTCGCCGCGCGCCGCGTGGTCCCCCCCCCCCCCAAATACGTTAGCACCTTAACGTGCACATAAATCGTGTCTAGATATAGGTTACTTCCTAGAACTTCTCCGAGTGGTTGTTTGTTTACGTGTTTTAATTTAGTTTCTTCGTATTTACTCAGTCTTCGCTTATTCGTCCATGTACAGATTTTATATAGTACATTTATGTAAGGCAAATCTGGGCAATCAATAAATCAGAGTAAAGAAAGTCGTAAGAAAAGACACAAATGTTATGAAGCAGTGACAATATGGCAAGGAGATCAAAAGTGTGATTAGAGGCGATTACATCAATCGATACGTCAATCGATAAGCAAACAGATGATAAATGCGACCTATGAATGCGACTCACGTACAGTATAAGCAGTAAGAAAAAGTTCCTTAATGAAAATTTCTTCAACGAAAGCTAGATAAATTAAGAGGTAAATACAAACAATCCGACATAATGGATCAGTCAGTAATAAATGAAATGTAAGAACTTTCCTGAAAGAATAACCGATTGTATTGTGTCAGTAGTCGAGAGGATGATTGAAAATTTGAACAATTATGAATTTAAGGAGGGTGCAGTTTTACCTAACCCCCTTTATGGGCTTACCTCAAGTCTTAAATTAGGGTGTATCTCAACTTATCGCGGATGTGGTGAGACTGTGTCCATATTTTGTAGCAGCATACGGCAGCGTTTCGAGCGTACGCCAGCGTCAGCGACTAGAAAAGCATAGGTAGCGATCTAGCGAACGCCAGCGGTTTTTTTTGCTCAAGGTCGAAACTACCCGCGAAAACACTGGCTTTCGCTAAATCGATACCTACACTTTCCTAGTCGGTGACGCTGGCGTACGCTCCGAACCTTGCCGTACGCTGACGCAAAGTATGGATGCAGCCTGGAGGCGGCGGTGTCGCGCGCATGGTGTTCGTATCAAGACCCACTCGACTAAACCTGGCAGTGTTGAGGCGTGCAATCGGAGTATTCCCAAGATACGAATCTTTGGGATGATATGGTGGGTTCGAAATGGAAAGCAATGGATTTCCGCATATTGGAGTGAGAGGGAAAGGCTGACCATATATTAGAGCTCTTGTGAACTACAGAATAGTTCCTTGAATTATCACAAAGGAGTTCAAAGCTCGAAACATGCAAGAAATGTTTTCCATTCAGTGATCATGAGAGATCTTCCACGCACACTCAATCCTCTAGAGCCTCCCCTCTCACCCATCAGGAGATTCTCGAAAATTGAACGCACTCGGACAGTGAGGGAGACGAGGCTATCATTCCAACGTGGGCTCAGTTACATTCCTCCATTACATTAGACCAGGAGCACCGCCCTCCAGCCAACAACTCAACTCTCTTCAAAGACACCATAATTGCCTTCCAGGTGGATCCATTTCATTTAAGAGGTGAACAGGTGCGTAGATCTAAACTGTAATCGCCAATAGAAAGCGCATGAAAATGAAGCTAGAGTTTTGTAATATCTCCATTTTTTAGGCCTCCGTCCGCTTTTTGATACGCGACGAGCAGGTCACATATACGCAACACGATACACGTTCGACCATACGACTAACCATATGCATGCGCGTTAGTTGTCCGTGCCCTCCAAAATATGACTGGGCCACCGTGGGCGAATACAGCTCATGCACCAAGCGAACATGTTGGCAGAATGCGCCTACCAAATTGTAGGCGCGACATGAGGATCTGGGAAACTATTTTCAAAACAAACAAAAAAGCAAGCGAGAACCGGGATGGCCTAAGCCTGTGCTATTCTAGAGGTGTAACTACTGATCTCAACGCTAATCTCTTCATGTTCGACTCCTAGTTAATTAAAACTATTCTCATTTTCAAATAAAGCAAATGTTAAAAACACGGCATACCTGTTGTGACTATTAGAAAGTTCAAATGCAGTAAATATCAACCGAAATGTACTATGCGCTGTAGGTATATATTTTAAAGTGGTTTCAAGAGACAAATACTTCAAAGCAAGTGAAAGAGTAGAGCACAATGTTCCCTTTGTATTATTTGAAGAGTTAAAAAATGAGCATTACGTGGGATCCCACAAAGCAGAATGAGCATTTCTTGTGCGACTCTGCACATGTTTGATAAGGGAACTGATATTTACAGGATGAACCCATTTCCTCTACCCCCGACAGAAAAAACCAGGAGAATCATGAAAAGTCATCTTGAATTAGAATAAGTTGAAGAACAACGAAGAGGTAATTCAGAAAGGTGATAATCCCCTCAAACATGTGAAGGTTCGCATGTAGCATTGTTGGTGAGCATAACTTTCAGAATTCGTCCCTGGTAATCAGTCATCAGATGAAATCAGCCATAAAAGAAGAAAGATGAACCGTATTTCAAACATATGGGACTATCCGCGGTGTACGGATCATAAAATGAAGCAACATGTGTTGTTGCTGTGGCAGTGACGGAACCACACCCGTACAAAACAATGTGGGCGAGAAAATCGTTGAAATATTTTCAACGCTCATTTTATTTTGAGCACTGTGATCTGCTACCTAAAAAAGTATTATAAATAATGAAAAGGATCAGAGCAAAGAGCGATTAACCTTTCGTAGATGGATCAGGATTGCATTTAGCGTGACAGCGTTTGCCTCGGAAAGTTCTTCTAGTGCCTTTCTGAACGAAAAATTATTAATGATTATTTTTCACACCGTCCTATTACAAAACTGTTTGAATGCTAACAAGTGCAGTTCAGGAAATCCGACAAACCGTGCAGTCCTAGTAAAGTGACTCAATAGCTGTTCAGTTCGTTAATATTACTATGCTTCTCGAGGTTTTTAAGGGGAATCTTCATTCAACGGCCTAATATTTGGAAAAGGTCGTCTTCTTCAGAGGCTAGAACTCCACCGTAAATCCGTCGTCATATGCGGATGTTTGTCAGTAGCAAATTGATTTGAGGTTTGATTTGAGACAAGATTTGTTACTGACTAACATCTACATGTGACGGCGGATTTACGGTGGAGTTTTGGCCTCTGAAGAAGATGAGCCTGTCGAAACGTTAGGCCGTTGAATAAAGATTCCACCGAAAAACCTTGAGAGGCATAGTATAATAACGAAGTGAACAACGATGCCGAGGTTACAGCAAGA